CACGCAAAGGCGCTAAGCCGCAAAGGTCGCATTACGGCGAGATCGTTTGCGGCTGAGCTGATTTCTAAGAGAAACTGTCATTGCGCCTTTGCGGCTTTGCGTGAGTCTTCGTTTCCTACCCCCTGCATCTCCGCGTCTCTGCGCGAGACCTACTGCAATGGGAACAACGCGATAACGCTCACGCCCCCGCGCCGCTGACGCTCACTTCGAGGTGTCTATGGATAAACTCGGGCAGCTCGCTGCTCGTCAGCGCGTCGGGCGAGTCGAACCGCAGACGGACCGTGTCGCGGTCTTCGCGACGTGTGTCGAGCTCGGCGTCGCTGGCCAGGGCGGCGAACTGCCCGAGCTGAACGGCGCCCTTCGGCCCGTTCAGCGCCAGCTCCACGTTCTCCGCCCGCTTGGTGACGATCGTCGCCCATGGGTCGGGCTGCCCCGGGACCATCCGGTGCACCAGCACCTTGTTGTTCCACAGGTACTCGCCCCCCGGCGTCGCCTCAGCGATCAGTTCCAGCAGGTCTTCGAGCAACTCCGGATCCCACTTCACCTTCTTGCCGGGCGTGAAGCCCTTGCGGGCGAGATGCCACTTCTGGCCCAACACCTTCCAGGGCATCAGGTCCTCGGGCTTCTTCTCTTCGCGCCCGACGAACTTCTCGAAGCCGGCAACCGCCTGCTCGATCATCTTCCAGAACTCCGGCTTGTCGATCTCCTTGAACGTGTGGGCGGCAACCTGAACCTCTTGCCAAGGGCCGCGCAGATTCTTGCACTGCACCCGCGACGTCGAGCCGTAGGCCTCGATGTCGTCCATCTCATTGAGCGGCGGCAGGTCGAGCTCGGCCGCTAGGGTGTCGCGGTTGAAGGTCCGCTTGCCGGTGCGGAACTTGAGCTTCACCAGCCAGCGCTCGCCGGTCAGGGCGTGAAAGAACCAGCCGTCCGACTTCTTCTGGCCGGTGACCTCCACGACCGAACGGTGGTTCCAGTTGGTCGGCGCGAAGTCGCCCAAGTCCTGGATGCGGCGTTCGACCTCGTCGAGGATCCGCCCGTCCCAACGACACGGTGAGCCGTCGCGGCCGATGCGTTCCTTGACGTGCCAGCGCCGCCCGTCCGCCTCCCACGGCATCGCGACACCGTCGCCGACCGAATCGAGGTCGAGGTCCCCCGCCTGTGTCTCGTCCTGCGGCTTGTAGACGGCGCGCTTCTTGTGCGGGCCTTCGGCGAGGATGGGGCGGAGGGCTTCGGCGGTGTGAGAAAATGGCGAGCCGGGAGCGTCAGCGCCCGGAGTTGCAGTGGTTTGGATTGTCGACTGGCGATTCACTCCGGTCGCTGACGCTCCC